TCACCCTGAGCACATGTGACAGACGTGAAAGTGTCTGGAGAAGCTGTAGAGAACAGCATGACCGGTTTGGTGGTGGGTCAGTGATGGTCTGGGGAGGCATATCCATGTAGGGATGCACAGACCTCTACAGGCTAGACAATGGCACCCTGACTGCCATTAGGTATCGAGATGAAATCCTTTGACCCACTGTCAGACCCTACGCGGGTGCGGTGGGTCCTGGGTTCCTCCTGGTGCCAGGCAGTTCCTGGAGGATGAAGGAATTGATACCATTGAATGGCCCCCACACTCGCCTGACCTAAATCCAATAGAACACCTCTGGGACATTATGTTTCGGTCCATCCGACGCCGCCAGGTTGCACCTCAGACTGTCCAAGAGCTCAGTGATGCCTTGGTCCAGATCTGGGAGGAAATACCCCAGGGGCCGGTTGCACCAGCTGGACGTACACCCGGTTGTAAGACTAGGCTGGACGTAAATGGTGCTTTAAGTCGTGTGTAGAATTTATACCCGTTGCACCATCTCGGCGTAGTGCTACGTCTGACACTAAATCTTACGCCTAGTCAGAGGTAGGTGTAAAATGAAAAGTCATGATTTGCTCGGACATTATTCGTTTTTAGGATTCATGTCTGTTAGTTAATTATTACTGCAGACGTGACCTGTATGTTTATGGTCTTTTCGGGCAGGATAAGCGATATCAATCGCGAAGCTCTGTGCTATCCTACCACACTGTCGACATTGAATACAAAATATATTTCTGTCAAGCATGTAATAATTATGCAGTAAAATATTACATATGAACTGGGATTATTAAAAGAAACTGAACCATTTGACATCTTGCTTGGAAGGACAGTGTGCTTGAAAATATTTCACGTCTTTAATTCAATTCATTATTTGTAGCGTGCCTGCCATCCAATAATCGCAATAAGTTTTGTGCTTTGTTACTTTTAATCAGAAATAAATAATCAGCTTTCAAATTCTGTGAATTTTATCACAAAATACAAACCATAAACAGCATTGTATTACATGCATTATATTTTACTTAACCTTGATGAAATCTGTCATGGGAGTGTGCAGGGAGACTTCAGATATAAAAACGCGGACTTGTTAGGAAATGTTTACTCAATGAAATCATAGCGCCGTGATTTCACTTTATGTCTTGAGCAATTCAGTTCTATATTAGTAGTTGTAGCCATTGCGGCGTGAACGACGTCTCAGCTATATCTATAACTGAGGGAGAATGTGTCGGCGTGGACCCGCATTGTCTACGCCGGGCGTAGTTGCGCCTGATCGTAGTTTCAGTTGGTGCAACAGGTGTAAATATTTATCGTAAAGCAGGACGTTGCAAAGCCCAGCGTAGGGCTTACACCCAGCGTTTTTACATCTAGCTGGTGCAACCGGCCCCAGGACACCATCCGTCGTCTCATTAGAGTATGCCCCGACATTGTCAGGCATGCATACAAGCCTGTGGGAATTTCAGCAAAATGGAATAGCCTGCTGCATCATTTTTTCACTTTGATTTTCGGGGCGTCTTTGATTTCAGCCCTCTGTAGGTTGATAATCCTAATTTCCATCAAACGATGTGGTATCCTTTCATTCCTAAATCAAGTTACCTTTATTTATTTATTATTATGTTATAGCGCTTTTAACAATACAGACTGTGTCAAAGCAACTGTACAGCATTAATTAGGAAAATAGTGTGTCAATAATGCAAAATGACAATTACTCAATTTTCAGTTAAAGGCAGTTCATCATTGAATTCAGTGATGTCATCATCCAGATCAGTTCAGTTCAGTTTAAATAGTATCTGTGCAATCAAGTCGACGATATCGCTGGAAATGAAGTGTCCCTAACACATTACCCAGTCCATATCACTATAGATATCCAGCATGATATTTTTCCCCATTGAGATCTGATGTGTTTTCAAAGTGTTCCTTTAATTTTTTTAGCAGTGTATATACTTTTTTTTGTTTTTTTTGTTTGAGATATCAGTTCTACAGATATTTGGCACTATTTGGTGAATCATTAAAAATAAATATACCCAACAACCATATAGTATTCACAGGTAAAGTAACCTATTTATTATACTGTTAGGATAATAGGATAAATACTATTAGGATAATTTATTCACAATTATTATACAACTATTCTCAAGTTTGAAATGTGTATCTTAACAATTAGACATTATTCAAAATGAGGAAATCCATTTCTCACCATTCAGATCACAAAACAATTTTGCTTAGATAATAATAATAATAATGATGATTATTATTATTATTATCAAAAAAATTTTGTCACTATAGTCTAATAAAGATTTATATCAACAAGCGTCAATAAAAAATTATAAGTAAATAAAGAATAAATTCAGTCAATAATAAAGCTTCTTTTGACTTAACTAATGCAATAATAAAAACATCTACATTAGATTGCAATAATAAAACATATAATATGCAGTTTTAATCTTGTTCTTTTAAAAATGAAGGTTGACACAGAGCATATTCTGAATAATTTAAAGGTTTGTAAAAGAAAAAAAATACTGTGTGTACCATCATGATTACATGGTGTCACTATTGTAAATGCCCCTGCAACATTTTACTCTATTTTCTTATTTAAAATTACATTATTTTATTTAAAATATACATTGTTATTATTATTACTTTTGTTGGTTTGATTGCTTCTGTTGTCCTCATTTGTTAGTCGCTTTAGATGATAAAAGCATCTGCTAAATGATAAATGTAACAATTACTGAAGAAAGCTTGCCTGATGATTAGACCAACAGCAACAGTTGCTAAGACTGCTCAGTAATGTTTTCAAGGTGCGAATGGTCAGTTCAGTTTAGTATTTTGCACAGATGATTGGCATTAATGCCCTGCAGTCTCTTCCCACAGAGACCGAGCTGAGAACTATTCCACAAGTCTCTGCAAACAAACACACTGTTCATTATTTAACAGCCCAGTCTGTACCGAACCAAGCCATCATTCAGCACTGGAACAAAATAACAGGATGTTTACCTCTGATAATGGCCTCTCGCAGGCCTGCGTCGCACACAGAAGGTGCACCATAAGGCAGAAGAGACCTGTGAAAGTCCCAGGGGAGGGGTCAGTGTCTAGCTTATGCATCTGAGAGTATCCAGCCCGGCAGTCTGCTGCTGAAGATGGATAAGGACACTCTCTCTTTCCCCCACTCCATGTAAATAAGTCTTAATGAGGCAGGAGTTGCGCTTGAAACGGCCCCTGTGTGTCAACAGCTCTCACGGAGACCTTGAGTCTGACCCGAGTCTGCTGCAGCCACTGAGGACGGCCCCCTCCTTTGCCCACCAAGCTGTTGCCTTCTCACTTTTTCACTTCTATTCCTTCGTCTGTTTGTTTCTAATTAGAGACACCACGCTCCTCGCACACCTTGCACACATACGCTCCAGGTGGTGGCTTTGCCCGGCGGGTTCGTTGCAGTTCTTGCATGATAACTGCCACTGAGGTGAACTAGTGCGCTCAAGATTTCCTTTCTGATTAACAGAGCACTAGCACTGCTTACTGCATACTGTGTGCAGTATGCGCTCTGTATACTGCCTACTATTTTTTTTTAAATAGGGTGTGAAATGGTATGCATTTCCATATGCAGTGGGTAAATGACACTTGCTATATTTATGTTGGTTAAAAATTAAAAAAAATGTTCAGAAGTTTAAATATACCTTTAAAATAATACCATGTAACCAAGTGCAAAGTAATAATAAAGTGAAAAAAGTGAAAGTGAAGTGATGTGTGGCCAAGTATGGTGTCCCATACTCGGAATTTGTGCTCTGTATTTAACCCATCCAAGTGCACACACACTGTAGTGAACAGAGCACACACACACCATGAAAACACACCCGGAGCAGTGGGCAGCCAATGCTGCGGCTCCCGGGGAGCAGTGGGGGGTGTGGTGCCTTGCTCAAGGGTCTCACCTCAGTCGTGGTATTAAAGGTGTTATTAATAAATAACAAAAAGTAAAAGGTTAATAATAATAATATGTTATCTTTACTGTGTGTACACATCTTTATAATTATTTCCACAAATATTTTAAAATATATTCTAATGTTTTGTTTTGTTTTGTTTTTGGTAACACTTTATTTTAAAGTGTTGTTGTTACACAGGTTACATGTACTTACTATTATAATAACAATAAATTATGCATAATTACATGCAAGTAACCCTAAGCCAAACCCTAATCTTAATCCTGACCATAAAGTACATGTTGTTAATTAATATTACTCAGTACTTAAAGGTATAATTATGCTGTAACAACAAGGACACCTTAAAATAAAGTGTAACCTTTTTTTTCATAATATAATTATGTTACTCCATGTTGGCCGCACCATATGACCTTAATTAAAAAAAAAAATGCTCATCATTTTAAAAGGTGCTCATCATTTAAAAGGTGCAAGGCGTTATATGCATGAATAGCATTTTATTTTATTTTTGAAAAAAAAAATTGAAAGGACAAAAAATAGCAATACCACAATAAACATGAAATGTGACACACTGCAGGTAATAAGGAAACCAAGAACATTTTGGGGCATATTTAATCCAATTTTGTGTAAAAACCACTTAACTTTTGCCAGTCTGATCCAATAAAAAGTCAATAATTAATGTGGAATAAATGAGTTTGTGATTGTCCATCTTTGTATATTTAAGATAAGCTCAGACTAATTCAGTCATGCATAAATTAAATACTAATTTATCTTATATAAGATAGTACAGAAGGTTAACAGGCTCATATTAAGTCATGTTAATAAGGGTTAAAACAGGCAAATACATTAAGGCGAACTAAGAATGTTTCAGCAAAATGCATTAGTTTAATGATTCGTAATAGAACGCTGATGAAGACAATAGCAAATGCTTTATATTTGTTTTATTAAAACATTATTCAGCTGTTAAATGAAAAAAGCTTTCAGCCTAACTCAAAATGCAAATGTAACTCCAAATGTCACATGGCAGGAATGACCCGAGCGCCTCATTTTCTGTCTCAGGAAAACAGGATTACAAGAAAACCAAGCCGGCGCTGCGAGCCACTCGGCTGAAGGCGGAGGCGAAGAGGAGTGCTCCGGGAATCAGGGTGAGATGGCTGTCTTTCATTCTCATTACCTCCCCCTCTATCCCAAATGATCCCTCTCTCCCCCATCTGCCAAACCACACACACACACACACACACACACACACATTATTCATCACACCTCTCCAACCTGAGAGAAGCTCAAGCAGTCTCCATATTGATGAGGCAGAGAAGAGCTGTTTGACTCTCAGAGGAGTAGCTCTCTTTCTCCCTCACCATCTCCTTTGCTTTCTCTCGATTTTTCTTTTTCTCTCAGCTGTCACTCCAGAATAATAATCGAGAGTTTGAGGAAAAAGCTTTTTATTCACTGTCTTTGTGTGATTTCCATGTATTAATGGCACTGGCTTGGTCAAGTATAACTGTCAGTGTTGCTCATACTGTATTAAACTTTGGTGCATAATTTGTCTTGGACGTTTGCGTTTTGGATATGACATCTCAAATAATACCTGACTGTTACTTTTCTTAGCCATCAGACTTACAATTTTCATAAAAAAGGTTAAATCCCATAGACTTGCACTGAAAGAGAAACATGTCCTGTATAAAAAGACTGGTTTCAAAGAGATCTTATTTTTGTGTAGTTCATCCAAAAAACCTAAAAGAACATAAAAGAAGATATTTTGAAAATATCTTCTGTTTTTTTTTATGTTGTTTTTTTTGGTCAGTGGTCACCAAAATTATTTGGTTACCAACATTCTTCAAAATATATACTCTTATGCTTCACATAATAAATATCATACAGGATTGGGTTTATATGAGGGTGAGTAAATTATGACAGAATTTTAGTGTGAACTATCAATATATTTCTTTTAATTATTAGTTTTTATGTTTTTTAATTTAATTATTAGTTTTATGTGAACATTAATGTATTAATGTGTGTATTTATTGTTAACAGAATTAATCAAAACAACTGCTTTCAAATTATCTGTGAAGATACTCTCTTCGTCCCTGTTAATTTTGGCAAGGGTGTTATTTTTGGTTGGTTTTTGGCATGAGAATTTGTGGTGCAATATGTTTTATCAGTTCTCTCAGAATCCAGAGCTCCACATTGGGAACTGTAGCCAAAACCGCTAGTATCCATGCTAAGACCTCTCACTGACAACAATGATCTGAAACTAATTCATAATTCATAAGCTTCAATATTTTCACAGTGGACTGAACAATGTAGAAACATAGCTGAATTCAACTTAAAACATTGCGTTTGCTTGTATTGGGTTTAGTTTGGTATGAAGAAATCAAATGTGAAGGCTGAAGATTAACTGGTTTTAGCAACTCAGTTGTTATTGTTAGAAAGCCAAGCCCTCATTACAATTCTTCTAAGTCTCATTAGTCTTTTATCCAATTACTGAGAGCTTAAAACATGCACATGGAATTCGTGTAAATAATTTTCTCCGTTTTAAGAAAACCTTCTCGTCCTTAATGGCTCCAAATGTTCGTTTGGGACATTTGGGAGCAACTAAATCTCTTTCCACAGGTATGCGTGAAGCCTATGAGCTCAGTGGTTAAAATATTTGTTTACTGCTGAAAGCAGCGTCCCCTCATTCTGTCAGAAATGTAGTTTATTGCGTATATATTTGGTCATTGACTTGGCACGTTTCTGAGGAACGTGGACGCCGATTTGTTTGTTCTGGTTCGTAATGTGACTAATGGACCCCTGAGCTCCAAGTTTGAGTTTTGTTCTGGTGTGCGCTTCTCTGCGGTATGTCTCCTTGGCTTTGGTTTTCTGAGGAGTTGACTCATACTTTTACCACTTGTTTTTCCACAGGCCATTTTCTCTGGCTGTGCATGCTTGGCAGGTGGCTCTCCATCTATGACCATCCCTCACTCAACCCACCCAAACACACACACGTTCTTATTTTTCGTCTTCCATCGTTCTTTAGCGTCGCTCCCATTTGTGAGTTCTGTGTGAGGCTCTGGAGAGCAGATTGAGGCTGAGGTTCGGGCCATCCTGGGGTCCGTGTTGGGAGTCTGCTCAATCTGCTGTTCTCCACTCGTAGGCCAGTTGGTTTGTTGGGATGTTGCCTGCCGGCTTGGGGAGGCAGCGGGCGCTCGACCACCTGCTGTGGGCACTGCTTGGCTCCCTGGTGCCTGGCTGAGCGGATGGCATCACCTGGCACGGAGTAGAGGTGCTGGCGGCCTCAGCTGTGTGGGGCGCCTGGCCTGAAAAAATCGGTGCCAACTCGCTAGCCCTGGAGCTGAATATTGAGAGCCCGCCGGCCAACTTTAACTGTTTCACTCTTCAGTACATTCCATTGCATGCATAAGTAAGGCCCAGTGATTTTTATCTAAGGTTCTAAAATACCCAAAAGCTCTCCCACTTCGCTTCCTGTCAGTTCTACACTGTCTCATGATAAAGGCATAAAATGACAAAAATAAATCTTTAAAAAAAAGCCTTATCAACTAGAGTCAAGGTCATAAAATCAATCTAAATTAGATACTCACATATTGTGTTATGACTGATAAGTGACTAATTACAGATATACATTTTTTATTAGTAGTTTTATTGTTTTTTATATTTATTTAGACAAAATAATATAGAAATTAAATATAGAGATTTTGTCTTAATAAATTAAAATCGATTTAAAATAAATGTATTCAAGATACCAGCACCAGGCCTCTGAATTTAATTAAGTTATATATCATTACATTATATACAAGTATTATTTTAGTGGAATAATACATAAAATAATCTAGAATTCAACTTTAGTTGTTCATGTTCAGTTGGAAAATCAATCAATGTGGAACAATCAATTCTTGGAATGTTGAACAATTCTTAGAATTCAAATTCTGTCATTCATGTTCAATTGGAATTCTAAATAAGGCTTAAATTATATCAGGGATTCATAGATATTAAAAATTCTGGTAAACAACTATTTTTTCTTTTTGACTGATAAGCAATAAATTGCAGATATTAAATTTCTATTTTATTTTGTCTAAATAAATAAATAAACTCCAAGAATATCGATAAAAAAATGAACAGTAAAAACTAAAAACGTATCATTTTAAATCCTAATAATCAATTGTGTAATGTACAATATAAAATGGACATTTATTATGAGATTTGCAAAATATTACATACAGTACATTTTACAGTGTTATCAATTATTATAATTTTTCTTAGTGGAAATGGTAGACATGACCATGCATGAATAAATATACCGTATTGACTGTAAATAATTGATATGGCACTAATACTATACATCCCTAAACTAAATGTAGTAGTTGTAGACATTGTTTTCTGTATCACTAGAAGACAAGACCCTGTGCTGTCTTAGAAAAGAGTATTTTAGATTATATGTGTCTCAGACCTGCATCTCTCGCTGTATGCAAATTGTGTTTATGAGTTCCATTCACACCTCTGCGTTTATACAGTCTGTCAACACTCGTATGAGTGAAACTTTCATTTTTATACCTCAAACACACACCCTTCCTCTCTCACAAAGACACCACAGCACAGCAGCCAGCGGTCGGCAGAGGGTGAGGTATTACAGCACACCTGGGTCAACTATAGTTATAGTATACACAACCACTTAACACAGGGGAAAATCCCACTTCAGCTGTTTCTGTTGGACGCTGATGCCATACCGCACCTGGTCGTGAGGGCCAAAGTTATGAACACAGGGCTATATGAGAAAATACCATAGAATTGGGTGAAACCAGAAGACCGTGAGAATTCATGCAAGGACACATGAGGAGATGCGAGTGTGTGTGCGCGTTTAAGAGACAGTGGCCTGTCGCCAGATGAATGGGAACTCACTCAAGGCATGCCACAGCTGCTGTTGAGAGCCACATGATGCTGTTGGGAATATTCCAGCGTTTTCCATCAGAATGTGGGAGACTGAAGCGTAGGCTGCTGAATTATTAGCTTCCTCAAGACAACAAGGTCCCCTCTCTTCACTCAGATACCCTCATCTGACAATTTCATTTTCACACAGCCTCCTCTGGACTTACTGTATGTCTTTTTCTCATCAAAGAATATGAGACCACATCTGTATTCATGGCTTTTTACTTTACTTTTTACTTTTCAGGAAAGGATTTTTGGGTCGATGACATGATGCTCCTTCTTGTGTCCAACTGTACTTAAACAAAAATAAAGCACAAATGCAGCATGGTTGTAATTAACTAAAACTAAAATCATTACACATAATTTTAGTAATTGAAATAAAGTTGATATAAAATAAAATTTAGATGCTAAATTATGTATATAACCTTTTTATACCAAATCAGTCAGTGTGGTGTAGCTAAAATGCAGGATTTTGTTGTCACATGACTAGAAAAATACAAAACTGTCAAGATCATAACTTTTTGATCTTCATAAATTAAAGATTATATAAACATTTGTAAACAGAAAAATACTTTGAGAAAAATAATATTAAAAAAAACTTTGAGAAATGTTTTTGAAAACCTTTTTGAAAATACAGGATAAAATGTGCATGCAAATGTTTTCATAATGTTACTTGCTTGAACTACTTTACATTTTTAAAGTGATTCAATTTTTTGTTAAATAAAAGTGTGGACTTTTTTTCTTTTCTTCAGCTTGGACAGTCTTATTAGTCATTGACACTCTTGTAAACAGAACACATTTGAACTACTTTGTCCCTTTGTTGCTACTCAGTCTGTATTTAAAAATGTAGAAACATTTGCCATATTTCACCAGAGACAAATGCAAAACAATTCCTTTTGGATGCGATGACACTTAGGCTCTGACACAAAGCGGTTAAATAAAGAACTTGAATCAGCGTGAGCCTCTGGTAATGTATGAAACTAAAGTGCATGAAATTTAAAAGTTTTCCAATTAAGAGAGGCTTAAGCTGTTTGGTGCCTGGCTGGAACAAGATAAATGCAGCGGGCAGCGAGTGCTAATGAGGACATACACACTGATGACTGCCGCCACGGCTTGTACACAGATAGTCATGGCCGTCGTGGAGGCTTTTAATAGCCCCTTACAATTTATCTGCTAGAATTATTATTAGCCTCCTGTTTGCTGGGTGGCTTATCTCTGCCTGCTCGGGGTGGATTTGCACGCTACTCTGTGTTTGATGTGTGTGTTTGTGTGTGCATGTGTTTATGTGTGAATGAACACAGGAGGGGGAATAGATGGATGTGTGTGATATTATTTCACTTTCTCTGTCTTTCTGTCCATCGTTCATTCTATGTTCTTCTGTCTTTGAAGAACATACTTTAAGACGTCTACAGGAGGATGCATGATGCCGTGGATTAGTGATCAAACAACAGCAGCAAAGGCAAAATTATTGGCATTCATCACATTCCTTTAGCTTATTAGTGAATTAAGTTCTTGTTTCACAGATTGTATATTTGATCGAATTGCCTAGCAAATATACAATTGCAGTTGTGCTCATGTTTACACACCCCTTTTTCATCCATCCATCCATCCATCCATCCATCCTCAGGTCATCCTCAGGTCATCCTCAGGTCATCCATCCGTCATCCTCAGGTCATCCTCATCCTCAGGTCATCCGAGATGTAGATGAGTTTGTTTCTTCATCAGAACAGATTTGGAGAAATTTAGCATTGTCACTTGCTCACCAATGGACCCTCTGCAGTGAATGGGTGCCATCAGAATAAAAGTCCAAACAGCTGATTAAAAACATCACAATAATCAATAATAAGTAATTCACACAACCCTAGTCCATCAATTAATGTCTTATGAAGTGAAAAGCTGATGTTTTTCAGAAACAAATCCATCGAGACTTTTTTAAACTTCAAACCATATGAGTCCATAATTCTTAATATTGTTTCTCTTGTCTGAATCAGGAGAGAAATATGCAAAGATCAAATACCATTTACAAGCAAAAATGGTCCAAAACAGTTCTAAACAAATATGTTGGAGGATTATTATGTGAGAGGATGAGATAGGCTGGAAGAAGCGTTATTATGAATCATGGACTTTTTTTCTATTTTATCCAAAAACAACGGTTTAAAACGCATTAATTACGGATTTGTTTCTTATAAGCATGCAGCTGTTCACTTTACTAGACATTAATTGATGGACTGAAGTCGTGTGGATTACTTGTGATGCTTTTATCATGTTTTATCAGCTCTCATTCCGACGGCACCCATTCACTGCAGAGGATCCATTGTTGAGCAAGTGATGTAATGCTAAATTTATCTACATCTTGGATGGCCTGAGGGTGAATACATTTTCATCCAACTTTCATTTTTGGTTGAACTATTCCGATAAAAGATAAAAACCTGGAGATTCTACAAGAGGTGTATAAACGTTTTAGCAGAAAAAGTTCTCACAGCTTTCTTCAGTATATACTTGCCGTTTTCTCTAATTGTAATTCATTTCTAGAAAAACATCAACTTCTGAATGTTCCAACGAGGCAAAAAAGTCCCACAACCACACAAGTTTTGATTAGAAAGTTTGATAATGAGTTATCAAGATGAAGAACAATTGCTTTATTAAATACTTGAGTGCTCTTAATGAAACTGAGGTTGATGAGGATTGTAATTTAACACAAAAGGTAATAAATGACTGCTTTAAATCTAACTCATGCTTGAATACCATTCCTTCAGCCATCATCAATTTAGCTCGGGCATTAAGCTCCCAACAACTCTTAATTAGAACAAAGACATTTCTGGGAGATTAACTTTCTCTGAGCCTGCTGGGTTTGCCAAACCCTATTTGTGTCACAGCGAGAGGAAAGATAAAGAGCCCAAAATATACTGATACTTCTGCTGAGCATTTGTGGTGTGAGTTACATATCTGTGTTTGGTTATGATCAGTCATGTGTCTATGAACACACAATGAAAAGAGTGTGCTTCATTCTCAAACTGCTAGAGAATGGCATTGCCACATTTCGGTATTTTAAAGCAGTATTAAATATGCATTTAAATAATGCAACATAAAAACTGAAAAATGAAGGCTTAGCACCCTTTCCATCAAAGAGCTATCCGATCAATAAATTTCTTCTTATTTATTTATTTTTGCTCTATAGGCTTCCTTATTTGTATATTAAAAGGTTCTTAAGGTTAGATTATAGTTTCTTCAGATCAGTTGGTTTATGGGTTTTATGAAGCATTGATTTTTTCTGAAAAACTATCAAATAAAAAGTTATTTATTGAACTTTATGAAGCTGTTCTATGGCTTCAGACTGTAAAATGTTTTTGGTTTCATGTCTGTATTTGTGAGAATGAACCTGCACATTTCAGAATCATTATGTTTCCACATTGGCAAATTAATTAAATGCATTATCCAAGTGTATAACATTTTATGAATAATCTGATGCTAGTGCTCTACCTTAAATTCTTATTAATGGTTATTTATGCAATGTTTGAATCAGAAAGAGTAAACCGTTCTTTTTTATCTGTGATTGCAGGACACAATATTGGTCATTGTGGCTGTCTTGGTCTTCCTGCTAGTCATTTATGCATTCTTCTACCTCAACCTGAGTACCGAGCTGGATCTGGATGTGGACATGGACTGAAGGACTTTTCTCACAGACACCATCTCAGAGGATTCTGGGTGGCTCGACCCATGAACCACTCATGGTGTGCCAGCAGTTTCATAGTATTACACATTTCCTATCTTTGTCCCCTTTTATACAAGCGGACACTGAAAGAAGATAAGTCTTAAAGTGCATAGAAGCATGAAGTTAAAGATTTTCTTCCCATGCAGTGTTGATATCCTTTTTGATTATTGATAAAGCTTCACATGTCCCACAGCTTTGGGATTTGAAGAGCCAGCTTGTTTTCCATTTGGATCTTTTAGTTTTAAAGGAATAGTTCACCCAGAAATGAAACTTATGTCATCTTTAACTCACTCTCATGTCTTTTGAAATGCATTTGGCTCTCTGCATGAAACACAAAAGGAGTTATTTACATCACAATTTCTAGGCTGTTGTTTTTTTATATAATCAAAGACTAGATTTTCACTGAATAACAAATATCAGTGACAAAGCTATTACATGGCTTCAGGAATTTTTGTATGGTGCTTTCTGGAGTTTGCCAATTCCTGGTCCATCTTCGTTTTCACTTAATGAAAAAGAGCAGCTTTTTTTATTTTTGTTCCACAAAAGATGTCATACAGGTTTGGAATGACATGAAGGTGAGTAAATGATGAGTAAATGTTAATTTTTTGGTGAACTATCGCTTTAATCATTTCCATCTCACTATTGTGTATTAGCACAGATGGATTCAGTTTTAACCAAATTGGTTGAAATTTTATTACATAATCCATTGGAGAGAAAAAAAATCCCCATCCTGTGGAGAAAATATTTCGGATAAATGAGGCAGACAAGAAGGTATATTGCATTCCATACCACAAACACTTCTTACAGATCTAGACATCTCAATGCTGGAGATCAGAGGCAATCTGTGATCTTGTTTGTGTGTGTAATGCTGACATTATCTGTCTCATTTCTCGTCATTGTACAGCTCGTTAGCATATCAAACATCGCAAACGTTGGTTATTGAAAGCCAAAAGAGCATCAGTGAAGATACCAAACATTACCACGTAGACCTTGATGTGCTTTCCGCTTTTGTATGCGTGTGCGTATGTGACCTCTAGAGACGTATAGAAACAGCACTTGAAGCATTATCAATCAGCGCGAGGTGCTGTTACTTTTAGCTAGCGTGCATCTTTTGATCTATCTCAGAAGATAAACCGCATGGCCCTGCCTTGGTCTCTGACATCCAGTGCTTCCTTTACACACTGCTGGGCCTGTGTGTGTGTGTTCGTGGGAGGAAGACAGAGTCGTAGGGTGGAAAATGAAAGGCTGAAGCTGATGACATTCAAAGTTCATTTACATTCTCTTTGTATAGCGCATTGGATCTCGTACAAACGCACAGCAACGACTTATTTCATTCCAGGCCGTGAGAGTTGTTTTATCTTTCCCTGCATGAGGTATATGTGCCTAACTCGGGACAACCCTTATTTTCCTGGGACGTCTGACTGTTATCATTAATTCAAGGATTGATACCCTATTGAACAAAACATTTTTGTAGCCTGTCTTTGATTTGGACTCGAGAGCTTTCCAAATTCTTTCATAGTGAGACTGAACTAAACCAAAACAAAGAGTCTCGTGTTCCTTGTTGACTGTTTTGCTTGTTTTTCTTCTCTTGTTTCTATCATACTTGAGATAAAATAATAAACATTGTCAAAACACGTTGATATTGATAAAAGCTTATTGTGTTCATTTTCGAAGTCGTATAACAATGTTGAGCATATAAATAGTATCTGTTTCAGTGCCTTGTGGCGTTCCACTTGTTAATGCCAAACAAACACACACACTACGAGACCGAAGCACATCACCCTGTGCACAAAATTAAAGACTCAAGCTGTGTTCACATTCACACAGTCCCTACACAGTGTTTACTGCACACTTAGTAGGGGGTATCTTTAAAAGATGATTATGTACAAATAGAAATAAACAAAACTTCTTTTAAAACATTTTTATTATTGGCATCTCAGCAGTCATTTATCCCTAAATATAGGGGTTTAAAATTAGCATGGCAAATTAGACAAAAATAAAATATAATAAATATTTAAGTTTGATTTATTTTAGCAGTTTAAAAAATAAAAATTAAGATAGATAGATAGATAGTTTTAAATGAATGTTTCAGTGTTTAATATAAGAGTAATTGCGAACTGGTAAGTTTAATAATCTGTTTTTTAAAACATTATGTAATATAACTAAAATTGTCATTACAATGATTATAACTGTTGAATCTTGTGCACATTTAAGAAGTGCGTACAGTTGTTTGTTAATTGTTAGATTAAGTAGACTAATTAAATAAATAAAAAAGTTTGTGTGCAATGACTAATGTGTAAATTTCCCTACTTTTGAAGTGAAGTGACACATCAGTGTTCACTTGTTATGCTGTATATATATATAT